CCACAGGGTCGCTCCTCTCATCGGGCTGGCTTTTGGTGACCGACGTGGGCCCAGGCTCAGTTTTAAAGTTGGTAGTCTCAGTGGACCCTGACAATCTCCTGGTGCTTTTCACACCGTCAGACACACTTCCCAGAGATACACGGGTTACAACTCTGTTGGCAGACTTCTCAGCTGCAGGTTGCTCTTTGACACTCCTCTCGAAGAGTTTTCTTGTTGATGAAAACTTCTCTGCTAAAGTCGTTTTGTCGATTTCAATGTCTTCACCCTTGGCGGGGTTCTCTAAAGGTGAAGATTCTGGGCTGGTGGCACTGTTCAGGTTTGCTTTGTGTGTGGGGACTATAAATGGCATTTTTGGAGAAGTGACTGGGGATACATCGACTTTCAAAACAGTTTTCACCTCTTGAATCTCCTGCTGCTGACCATCCATCTGTAAGAATATATTCTTGATTTTGTTCACCCGATTCCCAAAAGCTCTCCCCCTTGTGTCCTCCCGGGTGTCGCTAGACCCGTTTGTATACGACTTCGCTCCTGCGTCAGATTTCGTCCCATCAAAGGTGCACTTAATAGCATGGAAATCCGACTTGTACGCATTTCTGTGCGGTGACGCACTCCTCAGTGTCCTCTCCGCTTTGTTTTCGGCTTTTAACATTTTCGAAAGATTCACAGCGAGCGGGCGATCTCGGAAAGAGACAAGTGAAGTTCAACTTCTACGGAGTATTTCCTTGTTCCTTGTTTTCCTACTGTGCCATGGGTCCCTATGAGATTCCCCTGCTCCTCAGATCATGTGGTAGTCGTCTACGGAGAAAATAGCAGATCACACGTAACTGTTAGTAGTGGGCCACTCAAACCTACCCAGATATTTGAATTCCGTAGACATCTCATGCTAATTCTGGACTGATTCAAAACATATACGATTATTCTCTCTACAACCGCTACATTGCTGTAGACTGTAACAAAGAACAACAAACAAATGATATCAATTGATATGTTGTAGAATTCTAAACGCTTTTCTGCATAGTAACACTGACCGTTATAAACAAGCCATAGACCAACGTGTAGACTTTACTACCTATTGCGAAAAGGTTACATTAGGTCACAATCATGTGAATTATTGAAAGTAAAGCTTTTTTGCCAAGACAACTCGTAACCGGTCCAAAAGTCGGTCAGAGACAGGCTGAGACTCAAAAGCTGAAACTCAAACACAGGAACAGTTTTTAACAGTGAGATCGGAGCGGTGATCGGATTCATTGTACAAATGCAATGCCAACGATGATAAAAACGTTTCAGCTCAACCCCATGAAAATGCACTAACTTTGTATTTTACCTCCTACGGTGCTTGTTTCATTGTCCCAGGCGCTGAAGGCTCTTCGTCAGGTAACTCTATTGCGATTTATATTCCCAAACTTGTCATTTGTTCACCGCCATCTATCCCCTTTTCCATAGTTTCCCTCCACCCTCTCTTCTCGCACTACTGACACACACAGACCTGTCGCGTTACCGCGCGTACCCGCGCCCTCTGACATCAGACAGCAGCGGGGGCGCGCACAGGCACATTCCAGGACTGTAAACCAACGCTTGCAGAACCAAACCCCCAACCTTTCAGAGTGCAGGTCTGCACAGACAGACAAATGAGAGATTTGGGATAATGGCGTGGGAAAGAGTATTACTGTGGTTATATAAAAATGCCTAGCATGCAGAAACCCACCCACCTACCGTACTGCGGTATGAAAGAATAACTTTGAGCAGGAGAGGAGAACATCCTTATGAAATGCCACACCTATCTCATGTAGCTATGTAGATGATTTTCAGTTTGCTATTCATAAGAGTCCTATTGTTGTTTTAGGAATGTTTCTCTACAATATGGACATTTCGGATGTTTCCAACAGCTGACTGTGATCCGTCTCAGAGCTTATATGTGATGTAGTTTTAGCTAAATTAACTTTTTAACAGTGCCAAATTTTGGCAAGATATGTCCCTAGCCATCACTTTTTAATGGTCAACAGATTAATTCTAACTGTCAGGAAAAGGACAATCAACTAGGATAAAATGCAACCTGATCCTGATGTGTCAGTTGTGTAAAAAGATTGTTCTGAAATAGGTGACCTGTAAAGAAAACCAAAGGTTCGTGGAAGACACTATTACTTTACTAAGGAACTGAGCTGCATTGCAAAGCCAATCGACTCTCCCCCTCTTAAAAAATAGGTCACCATCACAATGTTCTCTTTCTTTTCTTGTCTCCCTCTTTTTATGCATCACTTTCTCCTCTCATCTCGTTCTAGCAGCCTATGCAACCAGTCTAATAGAAAACACGATTGTTAGTTAATTTTAGTCGCACCAGTGTTTCCGTGCTTCCTTTATAAGGTAGGAAAAAGTACATTGAAACTAATGAGTGCCATACAACAGAAATACATCACAAATGGTTGTGTTTGCCCAGGTAAGGAGAGATAGTCGTCTCCATGCAGAACACATCATTACACATAGCAAATAACGAGCATTAGGTAAAAACGTCAACAATTATTTTAAATATGTATTGAGTAAAAAAGGGTAAATCAACCTATCACAGCTAAATCGTTCCACATAATTCAAACACCAGCATTCAGGTGAATTAATCACTTAAAACTAAACACATTGTAATGCAACAGTTCTCTAAAGGAACAAAATGTACAGGCGGAAGAGTGAAAACAGTCCTTTCATATGTAAAACCGAGCACTTACTTACCATGCAGAGTTGAAAACGGATTGCCACCCGAGGATGATAGCCCTGAACCAAATAGGACCAAGTTAACCTTCATTTCTTCACTCTATACCCATACATGTGACACCTATATACAATACAACATAAAACACAGAGGATTTGTTGATGTTCTTGGGCTCAGCCACGGACTCACTGTAAAAAATAATTTAGTGACATCTCCCAGGTGGCACGAAGACCTACATTTCAAAAATACCAACCAATCAAATAGAAAGGGGAATAGAAAAGGCAAATGAAGTTGAAGAAGAAAGAGCTTTGAACTCCACCCTCACAGATGTCAATATAATTTAATTGGATCTAGTCTAAGATGACAAAACCAATAAAGAACCAGGTTTAACATTTATGCACAGGCTGTAATGTTGATGTTAAAGACTAACTAGATGTTTTAAAATGGATTCCTGGAGCACGTCTAACTGTCTATAGAATGGTTTTGTAAAAGCCCACTCACTTTTACTGTACTTTACTATAGTTGTTCAACAGTAGTTACTTTTTTTAGTATAAACTCCCAGTGTCTGCCTGCCCAATGTCCATTGTGGTTATCATAGTCTGTAGTTGACTGATAGACTTAAATTGTACATTTTACAGGACAACATAAAATAACATTTGATGCTTCATTACATATTTTCCCCCTAAACATTATGTACTGTACATCAAAACAAATCTAGGGTACATGAAATATGATATACAATTGGCTGCTTATACATACACAGATGGGATCTGTAATATTTAACTGGATCATGTTTTGAGCTTTGCTATTTTCTTACTCGCCCCAGGAGTGAAGTCATTCACATTTAACTGTGTGAAACATGAAAAATGTACCTCTATTGACACCCCTCCCAATTTGTTCTCTTTTACCCAAGTATTCACTGCAATAAAATTGGTATGCCCAACACAATACCTGACAAGTTGAATCAAGCATATCAAAGTTGTGAAATAGTATTTTACAACATACGTTTCGGAGAAGCGATCTGTGTAGTTACACTGGAGAAGTTGGGCTCCTTAGGCATTTCCTGGGGAGTTATCTGCTCTCACATTCCATTTGTGACACATAGTTATCTGATGTTTAATACACTTCAGTTTCTCACAGAAACACACATATTTGTCTGCTTCAATAACGAATTGCTTCCTATAGATCATACAATACAATTTGAAGATAGGAATTTGTTTTGGGTTCATTAAAGTTAAAGGTCAATTAGCTGAATAAAGAGAGTAGATTGATTGTGATCTTGACTAGAAGAGAATAGCATGAAACGCCATATACATATACCAGCTGCAAATTGTGAGTTATGTAAAGCAACAAATGAAAAAATACAGAAGAGTTGGCCTTCTCTGGTATTTAGAATTAGTATTTTAGGGGGAATCAGTATCTGTATTTAATTAGATAACTTCTAAAACAATTCAAAATGTCAACTTTATACGTTGCACTTTCCTGACACGCAAAGTACGGTTCACTTTTTAATGCTCTCCAGAAATTTGTTTAATTCCCATACTTATTAAAGATCAGTGATTTTAAGGCCACTGGTTGTAAAAGTGGCACTGTTGAGACAAAATGAGCCCCCTGCTTGTCATCTTCACACAGTGCATCCTAGTTCCTTCACTTCCCCTAGGTAATCTGCACGCACGCTCACGGCTGTGCACATGATGATAAAATATACGTGACTCTTCAGACCAGACAGTCTGCTTCCATTACTCTAAAGGTCAAGTTCTGATGCTCGCATTGTAGGTGCTTTTAACGGTGGACAAGGGTCATCGTGGTCACTCTCTGTTGTGATGCACTGTGTGTTGTGACACAAACTTCCATTAACCAATATTTAATATTTTCTATTAAACACCCTTTCCCGATTTGTGATTTGTCCCTCCTCGGACCGCGGTTGCCGACCGGGAGCACCCCACAATCCTTGTCGTTTTAGAGTTGCAATTACTTATTCCTCTGGTCTATAACAATTTGGCCCTTGTTGAGATCTTTATTCAGGACTTTACTCCTGTCAATATCTCCTGCATCCCACACATTGACTATGAGAACTGATTGTTCACTTACCATCTAGTCTACCCAGACATTGAGATGTGCCATTGTTAGGAAGTGATCAACATTATTAGCTTCACCTGTCATGACCGGTTTTGACTCAGTGTATATTACACATATCATAAAGTCCACTTGCTTTAAAACATGACATTTTATGACTCCATTTCTTTTATTTAACCAGGTAGGGCCGATTGGGAACAATTTCTCATTTGCAACGGCAACCTGGGGAGCAGCTGGGATTTGAACCCAGGACGTCATACACACAATGCATGCACTGAGCTACCAACTGCTCCATGATCTGGAAAACTAAACTAAAAAAAATGTGCTAATGATATCTGAGTTATAGTATGTCCCTGTTTTTTAAAATCCTAACATTAAACAGTGTTTTCTGATTTGCAAAATATAAGGAATTTGTAAATACTTATAGTATAACTAACTGTTTTTAAACCTCCCATTTTGTTCTGCGTGTGGGAAATATTGATTAGATGTGCATAAAAACCTATAAAACAAAATAATCAATTATCATTCTTCTGTTAGTGAAATTCCAAATTTAAAAGCAAGTGGTTATGATGACAGGGGGCACATATCTACACATACATGACATAGTATGCACTTTTCGAGGACCTGTTATGGTTCAACAGGGCCACAAATGGTGGAGTGAATTTGTAAAACCCAATAGTTTAAGACTTTGTAGTTGTAGCAGTATTTGAATTGGTGTTGTTTATTTTTTCTACTTGAATATCTTTGCTTTTACTCAAGTATGACAATGGGGTACTTTTTCCATCGCCGCAAAAATTGTCCAGTATTTTTGTCAGCACGTAAACTGATGGTGTGTGTGTGCATGACGTCTGCACGTGTGTGTTTACCATTACATGCTCGCTGGATTATCTCCTAGCAACGGCGGGTCACTGGGCTCTGAAAGGCATACAGACAGTCAGTGGGCCAGCCACTCTCCCAGGGATATCATGGCCCCAGGCCATTGTCAAGCCAATGGTCCCCATGACAACCCCTCAAACAATGTCAGAATTCAGTGTCTTCAAATCAAGACGGGCCAAAGCCAGCACTCCGCAATCACTCCACAAGTTGGACAATTCACATTATAGCATGGACTTGATTATCTCTCTGAGGGGTCAGAAATCACAACAGATCCTCTGTGTAATAACCATTGCACAGCTATGACTCACAACAGAACCTGTATGTAATAACCATTGCACAGCTATGACCCACAAAAGAACCTGTATGTAATAACCATTGCACAGCTATGACTCACAACAGAACCTGTATGTAATAACCATTGCACATCTATGACCCACAACAGAACCTGTATGTAATAACCATTGCACATCTATGACCCACAACAGAACCTGTATGTAATAACCATTGCACAGCTATGACCCACAACAGAACCTGTATGTAATAACCATTGCACAGCTATGACCCACAACAGAACCTGTATGTAATAACCATTGCACAGCTATGACTCACAACATAACCTGTATGTAATAACCATTGCACAGCTATGACTCACAACAGAACCTGTATGTAATAACCATTGCACAGCTATGACTCACAACAGAACCTGTATGTAATAACCATTGCACAGCTATGACTCACAACATAACCTGTATGTAATAACCATTGCACAGCTATGACTCACAACATAACCTGTGTGTAATAACCATTGCACAGCTATGACTCACAACAGAATATGTATGTTATAACCATTGCACAGCTATGACTCTCTTTGTTTTGGGCCTCTATAATAAAACACTTAGTACCTACACTGCCAACACATAAAATACAACCATGAAACGTGGACCAAAGGTCCGTAGCGTTACTTTTCAGACAAACAGCCTCTCACTCTGTTGTAAATCTCAGGTGAAATTATGAATTATTTCTATTAAGTAATCATTTACCTGTAATTTGCAATATATTTACAGTAAATTAATGCCTAAACATAGGCTCTTCGGAGTAAATTACTTACATGCCACTTCAAGAGATTATGTGTCGGGACAACGTTTCAATGGTTTATACATTGGCCACAAATACATATATATATATTTTTTGTCAATCTAACTTCACAGACCACACTTTGCTCCATGAGGAGAAATTAGTGCAGTAACATAATCATGCAAACCTTATATTTATTTAAATAAAGAAATCAGTTTACTATAGGTTCCCTGTTCCTTGTTAGAATATGGTTGACTGTTTCTTTGTAAATTACCTCCTGGCAAAACTGGTACTGGCATACAGCTTGAAATTGTGTTGATTGGCAGAGTGTCTTTGACATGGGTTAGCATGTTGCAGCTGGCACTGTGCAGTATGCAGTATTATTGGGATGTGTGCTGTGTCCACACACTGCATTCTCAAGTTTGGGCTGGAGAGACTTATATGATCTTCTCCTCCTGACCAATTCCAAGTTCCACCTCAGAGGAGAAGGAGTTACTATGGGAACGACAGAACTTCCCTTCAGACGATGGCAATTACAACTGAATAACACAATCTGGTGGTTTGTCAACATAGCAGAAACCCAAAACCAGATCAGGCTTGACAGTGTTCTGTTACCAGTTGCATGAGTATACAGTAATCAAAACTTGCTAAACGAAACATATTATAATGTTACTCAAGAGAATATACCCATTTGTGGTTTCCCTCAAGGAGCAACAGTATACGCTGCCATCTACTGACAGGAAATTAAACAACTGGGAGAAAAACAATCCTGAGAAAAAAGCCCTGAGCTAACAGCACTGATAACATAGATACTAGTAATGTCATGTCAAAATAGTTGTTTATAAAACATATTTCATAACAATTTAAATAACAATTTATATTATCGTACTTGATAATTTCAGTCCCAAATCTATGACAGCACTTTTATACAAGTATACCTACTACAGTCTATAAACAATGGTGGGTAAAATGTTGCCAAATAATAGAGGCAACAAAACAACAAGAAATATATATATATATAAATTTCCAGATTCAGAATGTTACCAAGGCAACTGTAAAGAAAATAAAAAACAATTTAACACCATAGTAAATATGACACTGTTTGTGAATTCTATTTTGGGTGTTCCACATTATCCCAAAAAGATTGCAGCAGCAACACCAACAATAAAAACCAACACCACAAAGGATAAACGTGGTGGTTAGGAGTAAATGTAAGAAAACAAGCCATGTCCTTTCTTCCTGCTAAATGACAATTGGACCATTCTTGTATGAATCTTTACATGTCACACTATATGCCTGCATATGACACAGCTGACTAATATCCTGAGGCACAGAATTCCCCTGATGTGCTGACTGTCCGTTTTATAACATGCGGTTCACCACATCACTTAAGCAGGTGCTGTGCCCTATCACTGCCTGAATATGACACACGCACGCACACACACACACACACACACACACACACACACACACACACACACACACACACACACACACACACACACACACACACACACACACACACACACACACACACACACACACACACACACAGACACACACACACACACACACACTCACACACACTTAAACCTCAGATATATGATACGTGATAAATCTGCTGAAGTGAGGAATTCTCCCCTCCGGCCAGTTTAAATATGCCCCATTGGGCCTGGGTTGCTTTTGTGGCAGTACTGTTGTGACAGAACGTGTGTTGCAGTGGAATGACTGAGACTGCACTGCAGATTCCTACACAGTCTTATGGCTCCTGTTATGTTTCACTCAAACGTCAAAAAGAGAAATGCATGGAATCCACGTTAATAATTGGATATTCTAAAATATAAGATATGCATTTCTATCAGTGGGCTAATTGTATAGCAGACATCAACCTACCTACGATATATAGTGGGACATGTGATACACAGTGTACTTGCCATTCCAACATGAACTATTCCAATTGCATGAGCACACTGCAGGTGTTTTCATTGAGTGGGAACAAAGCAGTGTCCTTATGTTTCCTCCTACTCGTTCTGCTGCAGCGCAATAACAGTGGGGATTGAACTTCACAGCTCCTGTGCAGTATATTTCTTGTCGGCATTGTTTTGCCAGTCCCACAGAATAAACTCTCTAAACGTTTTGATTTTTCATAATCAGAATAGTGTTTATTCGCCATGAATGTATGAACATAAAGGGAATTTACTTTGGCAGGAAGGTGCTTACATACAACATAAGAATCGAGCAATATAAATTATACTAAGAGGGTGAGGGGTATTGGGATACTAATATGCAAAATCAGGCAATGTGCAAATGGAATGGGTAAGAGTTCAATGCTTGTGTGCACCCCTGGCCTTGTTGAGGAGGCCAGTAGCACAGGGGAAGAAACTGTACTTATAGCGTGAGTTTTTGGTCCTGATGGACCGAAGCCTTCTGCCGGGGGGTTAGTGTGTTGAAAAGAGAGTGTCCGGGGTGAGAGGGGTCTGCCACAATCTTTCTAGCTGGCCTCAGAGCCTTCGAGGTGTTCAGGTCCTCGAGGCTAGGCAGATTGCAGCCAATCACCTTTTCAGCTGAGCGGATGATACGCTGCAGTCTGCACTTGTCCTTAGCTGTAGCAGCAGCATACCAGGTGGTGATTAGGTGAGGACACAATGATGACTGAGTAGAAGTGAACCATCATAGTCTTGAGCAGGTTGAATTTCTTCAGCTGCTGTAGGAAGTACATCCTCTGTTGACCTTTTTTTGATCAGTGATGTTTAAGTCCCACTTGAGGTCCTGAGAAAGGATGGTACCCAGGAAGCGGAAGGACTCTACAGTGTTGACAGGAGAGCCACAACACACAGGTGGGGCTGAGTTTCTCCTGAAGTCCACATCTCCACTGTCTTTAGAGCATTGAGCTCTATGTTGTTCTGGCTACACCGGGTCACCAGGTTGTCAGCTTCCAGCCTGTAGTCGGACTCGTCCCCACCGGAGATGAGCCCAATGAGGGTGGTGTCGTCCGCAAACTTCAGGATCTTAACAGATGGATGACTTGAGGTGCAACTGTTGGTGTTCAGGGAGAAGAGCAGAGGAGAAAGGACGCAGCCCTGGGGGGACCCGGTGCTAATGGACCGGGAGGCAGAGACTTGTGACCCCAGCTTGACGCACTGCTTCCTGTCAGACAGGAAGTCTGTGATCCACTTGCAGGTGGAGTCCAGTAGGTTGAGCTGGGAGAGCTTGTCGTGTAGAAGGGCAGGGATGATGGTGTTGAAGGCGGAGCTGAAGTCTACAAACAGGATCCTCGCATATGTTGCAGGGGAGTCCAGGTGCTGGAGAGTGAAGTGGAGGGCCATGTTGAATGCGTCGTCCACAGACA